GCTTTTAGACGAACTTGCCGAAGAGCTGGATGAACCAGCTAACTGGCCATGTAAGCTGTGGCTCCTGCGCGAGCCTCCGGCGGCCGAGGGCCGAGCCGTGAGCCGGCGGATGCCGCCGGGGTCTCTCCCCCCTGACCCGGCAGCGATGTTCACCCAGGAAAAAATCACTCCTCATCACCTACCAAAACCAGCAGCCTCCCGTTACAGAAACACCTCACGAGTCAGGCAGCTCACACATTCCTACCTATTCCCAGTAGTAAGCGTATTATCATAGCACAGCGATAAATTCTTGCAGGGAGAGAGTTTACAAATTATTTTTCTACATACGGCTACAGAGAAAGTGCTCGTGTTTGGAAGACATTTGGAAATACACACGTTTACTGCGAATGGGAAAAAAAACCCGGAAACTCTGTGAAACAGAACACTTTCTGAAAGACTCATTATTTAGAGCTAACCGGCGAAAAAACAACCCTCTAACAACCCTTACGAAGTGTGCTGGGTTTTTTTCTGAACTGCCAGTGAGTACCGAGCCTGAACTTTCTGTATAAAACACTGCCAGAAGGGAGTCATGATCCCCTTGCACATTTCCTAAAACACATAAAACGTTCTGTGCCTTCTGATCTCGCCCTGCAACAGCTGCCCCAGGTTGAATCCATACTGAGCAAACTCCTGGCTAGTGCAACGCCCCATTCACTCAAAATGAACCCCGACAAACCACCCCCCAGCCCGTGGGAACCACAGTGTCCTTTCCAAAAAAAAAAAAAAAAAAAACAACCAAAACCCTTCTCCCCCATGAAGCGCCCACGCACACAAGATGCCAACAGCCTGGGCAGCCGGCGAGCGCGGCCGGGAGCCCTGACTTGCCCCGGGGAGAGGGTTTGCACGAAGCAAGTTCCTTCCACTCGTGCTCGGGGAATCGGGGCAGGATGTAAAACACTGAAAAATCCCCCCGGAGCATCCTGGCTCTGCCAGGAGCAGGAGCTGCAGGGCTGGCGCCAAGGCGCGGGATGCTGAAGGAACAGCCGGGTGGGTCACAGCCCCGCTTGGCTCCGCTCTTCTGGAGAACCACCACGATATTTCTGGAGAGGAAACATCTCGGCAAGGAAAAGCAGCCCCTTCCAGCTACCACCTTCGTCAGCCGGAGGCCTGCCGTCGGCTTTGCCCCCCACCCAGCCTCCCCGCTAAGGGAATGCAGGGAGCGCGCTTTGACAGCGGAGCTGACCTCCCCGCTGCGAACAAAAAACGCTCCTACCGCCCCAGGCTTCTCCCCGGGGCCCAGTGACACCGACCTGAGAGGAGATGGCAGCGTGTGACAGCACGGGAGGGACCCCGGGACCCCCCCCGGGGCTCCGCCGCCGCACGGCCACAACCCAGGTGTGCTGGCTTACCTCCCCCGTGATGTTTTTTTTTTTTTTTTTTATTTCAACTGACAAAAAGCGGGTTTATCGCTATACCTAGCCCAGCTGAAGCTCCTCACAGGAGAAAAGGCATGGGGCGATGAAAAGAAAAAAAAAAAAAAAACAAAAAAAAAAAAAAACAAACAAAAAACCCAACAAACATAAGAAATGGCAGTGTGGTTGTTTTGTTAGCTCTGCAGCAGGCGCCGACCCACGCTCGCTCCCCGAACGAAGGCCGCAGCCCTGCTCCCCCCCCCCCCCCCCCAGTTAGCAACCCGCCCCAACCCCCCCTTTTTTAATAATACCCCCCTCCTGCCTGTGTGGGGTTGTACAATTTGGTTATTGTTACGAACAGAGGCCCGACGCGCCCGGTAAGGGCAGTGACAGATGACATTCCCGCGGTAGCGCTGAGCAGCGTAGCCCTTACGCCCGGCGGGATGACTGTAGGCAGGACCAAGGGTTTTTTTTTCCCCTCTCCAGACAGAGCAAAGAAAACAGTTCCAAGATTGCTTTTAACTGCATTAGGAGATTCATAGTATTTATTTTATTGATCATCACTAGTCACCAGATCTTAACTGAGTTAGGATCACCCGAAATACCCACGCCAACATAACAAACCCTCCACAGTTTTATACTCTGAAAACAATTCCCTACGTGAAGGGCTTCAGTTAACGTATTTCGTTTTCCTTGATTTCTTAAAGAAATTTGTATTTTTAGAATCTCGTTACCCTTAAGTCCTTTAAACCACCTGGATAGCTGTGAGTTATCTGCCCTTGCCTCAGGCTGGATCGCGCCCATGCATCTTGCTCGGCTCTAATGAGCTAGGTATTATTCTTGCTTCATTCTCATTCCGAAGTTGTTTTGTTCCTCAGCTATTTCTGTAGCCACACAACGTCCCCCCGCCCCCAGCATTTACATGCCTTAGCTCAGTTCTAATTTCTCATTAGAACAGAATTTAATAAAGATAACTTTTAATGGGTGTTGTGTACGAGCACTAAAGGATGAATAATGTTCTGCATGTAGGTCAGGTACTCCTGGTAAAACCTCCACCAGATCACAGCTACTGCTCTTTGTTCATGCAAATGCAGGGGAGGAGAGTCTCTTAATTAAGCATTAAGTGTGCAGGTGCACACAACAGATTTATCTGTGGTTTCTGGTTGATGTGAGAAGTAAAAAGGGGAATGGAGCCAAAAATCCTTTAGATTTGAGATATCCTGGCTTCAGAAGGCTCAGGAAGAATGGCTGTATTTATTAGCTATTAGGGTTTCTTTAGGCTATATGGTCCATGTATACATTCACAACCCATCCGTCTTTATCTCAGAGCCTTACAGTCCTTCTAACCTCACACCTGGTTCTTCAGAGGAACTGAGGGTTTGGAGACGTGACAGTCATCTAGGATTTTTCTCCTCTTTCCACAAAAAGAGAGGGATCTTCCTGCCATGTATGGAAAGAAGGGGAAACACCAAACACCCGAGGTGCAAAGAGAACCTTCACTGACCACACACAAATGCTCACAATTCCAGCTCCTAAGCCAAATTTAGAAAGATAGTGAAGTTTGGGATAAATCCGACGGTCAACCTCACACTGAAAGAAACGCAGGAATTTGCTCTAAGGTCCTACATCTTCTCAACTTTTTTTTTAGCAGGTGCAGCACTAGGAAGAGCCAACCTTACCAAGCGTTTCCCAGAAGGTATATGGTCCAAAGACCTTCCTGGGGAGAGATGCCAGCACAACCTTAAGGTCCCGCTGCGGGAACTCCAGGGATTTTAAATGCAGCGGGCGAAGGCAGAGCAGCCCTCTGCTCTGGGGTGTGTCAGAAGCTGAATGAAGGGACCTGGTGTCTTTAATTTGAGGAAGCTGTCGGAATTAAGGGGAAGAATTAGGGGGAAGAATTAGGGGGAAGAATTAAGGGGAAGAATTAGGGGGAAGAATTAGGGGGAAGAATTAGGGGGAAGAATTAAGGGGAAGAATTAGGGGGAAGAATTAGGGGGAAGAATTAGGGGGAAGAATTAGGGGGAAGAATTAGAGGGAAGAATTAGGGGGAAGAATTAGGGGGAAGAATTAGGGGGAAGAATTAGGGGGAAGAATTAGGGGGAAGAATTAAGGGGAAGAATTAGGGGGAAGAATTAGGGGGAAGGATTAGAGGGAAGAATTAGGGGGAAGAATTAGGGGGAAGAATTAGGGGGAAGAATTAGGGGGAAGAATTAGAGGGAAGAATTAGGGGGAAGAATTAGGGGGAAGAATTAGGGGGAAGAAGAGACCTCCCCGCAGGCAGCCACACGCCGCGCGGTGCCGCACGCTCCCCGTCCTGCAGCCGCACGCTACGGCATCCCCGGGTAAAAGTCCCCTAATTATAGGTTTACATTGCAGAACCCAACTAAATCCAAGTGAATCAGCTCGGCTAATTTGAATTTGAGGCATTAGAATATGCAAAGTTTACTGTTATTTATACAGAGAGCAGGTACAGTCATCAGCGGTACAATGAGCTAAATGACTGCCATTTACCTTTTCACTCCCTTTCAAACTTAGCCAAGACACGAGTGAAACACCCCACGCCCCCACTATTCGAATTTCCACTAATGAAAAAAAACCTCAACGTGCATGAATATTCTGCATGTTTATTTTTCATAGACACGTTTTAGAAACTGATGAATTCAGAGGCAAGTCACAGATTCTCTCCTGTTTCATTTTCCTCTCAGGGCTTAAAGCGGGGACAGGGAAGGGGGGGAGGGACTCTGGGTGAGGGGGTGGGGATGGGACGAGGGGGGACGGTTTTGCACCGAAAAAGGGCAGATTTAGGTGAGCTCTAAGGCAGAAATCCTTCCCTGTGCGGGGGGGGAGGCGCTGGCCCAGGGTGCCCAGAGCAGCTGTGGGTGCCCCCTCCCTGGAAGGGTTCAAGGCCAGGTTGGACGGGGCTGGGAGCCCCCTGGGCTGGGGGAAGGGGGCCCTGCCCGGGGCAGGGGGGGGCACTGGGGGGGCTTTCAGCTCCCTCCCCACCCAAACCACTCTGGGATTCTGTGATTTTAAAGAAGATTTTTTTTCCCCCCTATGCCAAAAAATAAGTTAAAATTCATGATCAAATTTTCTGTGTTAGTATCTGAAACTTTACATGCATTTCTCTGCACTCTAAACAGCAGGAATATATTCAATATATTCACTTGGATGCTTCACTGCACCTACAGATATGTACAGCTTTGTTCTCAAAACCTGCAGCTGTTACTCAGGAAAATGGCTTTCTGAGTACTCCTAAAGCGCTTAATCTCAAAATCCCGTTTTGGAACTTTCATTCATATGTTTGCTCCTCGCTGCTACTGTTTTCTACAGCGAGCTGACGCCTTTTGAGCCGCAGTCACTGCGGGAATCCCAGCTCCCTCGGGATGGAACCAGAGGGCACCCAGTACAACGGGTGGCCCCCCCGGACCCCCCACTTTCTGCAGCAGGGCAGAAACGCCGACGCGTGGACCTGCAGCTCCCGCCCCGCTCTGGGGGAATTCCAATCAGGTTTTCCTGATTGCTGTTGTGCCCGCGGTTACACGGCAGCAGAATGAAGCAATTCTTGCACAAATAATACATTTGGTTTGCTTTGCTTTGCTTTTATTTTACCTGATTTCCTCCCATGCCGTGGCAGTTGAAAATGCCCACTTTCTCATTTTCCTTGCGGCCCATGTTGTCTAAACACTGGTTGGTTTCAACGTTCCTGATCTGAAGAAAGAAAGAGGTGAAATGTTCCTTGAAAAAAAAAAAATGCCTGTAAATATCATATTCGTGCAGAAAAAAATACGTCACTGGAGGAGAAAGTACATTACCCATGCATTCAACTATATGAATATATTTTAACTTGCAATTTGTAAAATACGCCACACTCCCAAAAGAAAATGAAAATAATTACCAAGAGTATAATGAGATTTTAAATTACATATTAGGTGTTAAGTATGAACAGCATTCAAGGAAAATCTCATTCATTGCCCTTTGTTGTTTTGTTTAACAAATATAATACCCTTTCAGTGCTAAGCAATGCTAAACTAATGGCTTGCCCAAGACCGGCACTTCCTTTTTTCCTTCCAGCAGGGCTGACGCTACTGCAAAAGAGAAAAACTGAGTATGAGCAGCGTTTGACGTCTGACTTTTTCAGAGCAGAGGCTGCTGGACGGCTCTGTGACTCACGACAGGTTTTCCAAAAGCTTTTAAATAAACCTTGCCCCTCCGAATCCTCAGAGAAGAACACATGCGCTCAGTGAACGCCTCTGCTTAAAGAAACCGTCTCCGCAGGGTCTGAGACACGTGCCGTGACCAGATCCTTCCCGTGAGGCTCAGCTTGTGCTGGCGTGCTGGAAAACCCCCCGAAGCAATAAGGAGCAGCAAGGCGAGGTCCTGAGCGATGCTCCCCAAAATGCATTTTTAGGCTACTGCTAGGAGGAGGATAAAAGCAAACGACCAACTTCAGCTTCGTCGGAGGGGAGACGCCACGGTCCGCCCCGAGCTCTCCACGACGGCGTCTGTGTTCAGCCTGTACAAACCCCAGCAGGGGCACATAAAGCACATAAAGCACGGGCTTTTTTTCTTAACCCCCACAAACCTGTCAGCACGGCTGTACAAACACGGCCCCCCCCCCCCCCCCCCCCCCCGGCTCCTCCTCGCTCGGGGCGCTTCCCTTACCAACGCGTGCAAAGCAAAAACGCCATCTCCAGCTCTCGAACCTTCCTAAAACCCGCCAAAACTCTCCGTTTCGAAAGAGTTCGTTGGCGTTTAGCACGACCCTGGGTCCCCCGCCAACCCCAGCGCCACCCCCGGGGGCTCAGCAGGCGGGGGGGGGGGTGGGAACCCAACACCACCAGCCGGGGCTCAAGGCAAGAGAAACGAGACGTTGCGATCCGACGGACGACGCCGGGGGCCAGCGGGCTCAGCAAAGCTCCCGGGGGTCACTTCTTCATCCGCTCCATCCTCGTTAAGCCCTCAGAAAGAAATTGCAACCCCCGAGGGCTGGCGAATAATCTCTCAGAGGCTCCTAATCGCTTAACACCCCCCCCCCCCCCCCCAAAAAAAAAAGAGCCGCTCAAATCAGGAGCAACACCGCCGGCCGGGGCGTCCAGACCTCGGGTACCCGTGGCCACCAGTGCTCTGGTTTCCACCATCTCCCAGCTGCTTTCCAAACCCACGGCCCTTCTTTAGAGCCCACTGAACGTGAAATGGCTTTTACGTGGCCACGGCAGGACGTGGCTGCTGGCACAACCCGCTGCACGTGCCTCGGACCAACCGCGCCATCGCCGGCAGCAGAAAGGTAACTTATTTTTTTGCATTCCCATCAGAGGACTAAAGTAGAAAGTGACTTGCAAACCCACCTGCAATTATTACATCTTGGGTTCACAAAATAATTCTTGTCTTGCGTTTACTTTCAATGTTCCACGATGAAAACGTAAAAAAAAAAAATAATGCTCAGTATTCACCACATTTTGCACATTTAATGCCCATTCTGAAGCGTATTTTCATCCATCTAGGCAATTCAAATCTAATACAGTCACTGTATGTAAGTTATGCTCTAACTGAATGGAAAATTTTGTTGCAGTTAAAGGCTTGGCAGTCTTCAGGATCTGCCTGCTAAGTGCACAACGAATAAACTTCCTCAACTCCTGACGGACTTCAGTTCCACACAACTCTGCATCTTTGAAATTTCATTTAAGAACTGCCTGCTTCATTTATAAAAGCAACAGATGTATGTGCATTAGTTGCACGACAGCCCAATAAAATGCAAATTCAATTAATAAAATACTGATTCTTATTTCTAACGTGCTGCAGGGTGCAGGTGAAGGGCGCCTGGACTTTGTCCAATATTGAGTCACGCCCGCGCTATCTTGCGGGAGGTCGTAAGCAAATTCAGGATGACTGCCCTAAACCTGACAAAATTATTCACCCATTCATCCCTGTCTCACCTTAAATCTCGGCTGAAAGAGGGGAAAAATGACTCAGAGATACACTGCCGATGTCTTAAAAACCGTCCGTTCCTGCTGCTGCTGGTACCTGAGCTTTAGGTCTAAAAACCCACTTTGCCGCTCAACTGGCAGTCGGCCGCTGTGAGAGCCAAGTGTGAGTTTTAATTCAGGGATCCTGCCTGAACTGCCGTTTCCATAGAAACTGAGGCTGTGCTGGTAAAAATAAAGTGTTTTAATAACTATTTTATTACTTTCTCATACTTTTATTTTCCAGTCTGACAAGATCGTACAAAGCCTTATTATCTGACACTTGTTAGATGAGTTCTTTCCTTGCTGTAAAACCGTGTTTCACTTTATTTTGTCGTAGTTAAACTGGAAACCCTGCTGTGGCTTTTACTTTTCCCTACAATTGCGAGTTTCAATAGTAAATTACCTTCCTGGATGTAAAAAAGCCATTTGCACATTTGACTGCTATTCTATCCACAGCTATCCTCAAATCAAGCCGTTCGAGAGCTTTTAAAAGTCAGCATAGGTAGAACTCAATAGAGTACTTTTAACAGTGAATTATCTGAATTTTAAAGAGATTTCGGTTCTTGGTGGTACTAGAACCATCGGATTATTAGGAATGCCTGTGATGCTCAGCTCCAGGCAGCCTTGCTGGAAAGCCTTGCATCAGTGAAAAAACACATTGTTTGGAAAAAAAAAAAAGGCAAAAAGAAAGCTTTTGCTATTCTACATGGTAGGGAGTGATAAGTGATGATGGAAAGTTCCCTTCAGCTACTGCATAGTACTTAATTATTTCAAAGTATTAGTCACAAACCTCACTTTTCCAATACGCTACGCAATTAAAAAAATAAATTTTTAATGGCGAGCACACACACTGAGAATAGGAATGCCTCCTTGTGAAAGATTTAGAGGCAATACGATCTGCTCAAAAGTAAAGATAAGTAAGGCACGGGGATTGCACACAAGCACTTTATTCCCCTCTCCAAAACCACTTCATCTGAGCGAATCCTCCGCTCGCACCGTACACTCACTGGTTTAATTTAGCCAAAGGAAACGGCTCGTACCTCACCAAGGGAGTAATAGCGCCGTGGAATCTGGGAGTCGGGATAGATGTTTTCCAGGTACCACGAGAAGGGTTTACACTTCAGATTTTCTCTTAGTGCCTTCCTGACGGATACGTCGCCGTAATCCACTTTAACAACACCTGGAATTGTGAAGAGAACAGACGGTCAAAGCAGAGGCTCTGTAGACCTGCCGAGCATCGGTCGCAGACCCTTCTCCAGTTGTCACGGTTCCCTTTTTAGCACTATCCATTTGCTGGAATTGCGGCGCAGCAGCATGCGAATACACGTGCAGCTGCATTCCAAGACCTACACCGTAGCTCTTTAAAAGCATTAAATAATTAATTTAGCAAATTGAAATTCTTGGGAGTGTTACTTTTTTTTTTTTTCTTTTTTTTTCAGGTAATTCATCAATCCAGAAAGGATGAACGCCTTGATTTCTTTATACTCCGAAATAATGAAGAGATCCATGTACCTTTTTACAAACCGTTTTTCCCCAAAGCATCTTGCTGGTGTCTTCCAGCACCTTCTCCCGAGGGAAACAGCCCAGACCAGGCATGGCTGTTTTACCGATGTCATCCAAACCACCCCTTGGGTGATTCCAGCAGCCAGGGCGCGTTCTCCCCCCCCGAGGAACCCCACTGCTCCCTCCCTCCCGCACCCCACAAGGTCCCGCAGGCCTGGGGGGCACACCTCATCCCCCTCAACAATATTTTAAACGCTACTACAAAATTCAGTGTCTCCTGCAATAAGGGAGGCGGGGGGAACACAGCAGCAGGTTTGTGCAGAGACCGGCCGGCGGACAGGCCCCCGGATCCACCCCCCCAGCACAGGCAGGGTGCTGGCGGGACGCTTCTGCTAAAGGCAGAAGGTGTCACCTCACGTCCCAGTTAAATTGTCACCGGGTCCGGTGGCACCGTTCCTCCCGCAAGCCTACACATCAGCGACCTGAGCCAGCAGCATCCCGAGTGGTGTGGGAGCCACAAATCAGAAATACAGGCCATGAAGAGAGAGAAAAAAAAAAAAAAAAAAAAAAAAAAAAGAATAATAATCAAGGAGCGGGAAAATCAGTCAGACACCCCCCCCCGTAAAGTGCAATCTTATTTAAAGGAAGAGAATATATGATGCCTTCAAGATTTATGACAGCTAGCCAAGCAATTTCTTTCCCTGTTGATGCTAGCAGTGTGCACCAGGAAAGAAGAAAGAGAAGCGGGAGGACACAGACACGGCTGCGGGTCCCAGACACAGGAGGGGGAACCAGAGATCAGCCGTGCCTGCGCCTCGTGCCGCGCACGACACGAGCACATCAGCACCGCTGACAGGTCGGGTCCGAGATCGACTGCACTTAGAAATCTACTCTGTACGTGCGTGAATAAGGAACTGGGAAGTTTTAACAGTATTCTTGAAGCCTTGGGGATGCAGCATTCCCTCTCCAACCCGTGCACGGGGCAGAGGGTGAGACATACGGTTCCAGTGGCAAAGAAAGGAAGAATTTCATCGTCGTTCAGCTGCAGCCAGAGCAGGGGGGGCAGCAGGGCCAGGGAGGGGATTGTCCCCCTCTGCTCCGCTCTGGGGAGACCCCCCTGCAGTGCTGGGGCCAGCTCGGGGGCCCCCAACAGCAGAAGGACCCGGAGCTGCTCGAGCGGGGCCAGAGGAGGCCACGGAGATGCTGGGGGGGCTGGAGCAGCTCCCCTGGGGGGCCGGGCTGAGAGAGTTGGGGGGGTTCAGCCTGGAGAAGAGAAGGCTCCGGGGGGACCCTGAGAGTGGCCTCCCAGGGCTTAAAGGGGGGGCAGGAGAGGTGGGGGGGGGACTCTGGGTCAGGGGGTGGGGATGGGATGAGGGGGGATGGTTTTGCACCGAAAAAGGGCAGATTTAGGTGAGCTCTAAGGCAGAAATCCTTCCCTGTGCGGGGGGTGAGGCGCTGGCCCAGGGTGCCCAGAGCAGCTGTGGGTGCCCCCTCCCTGGAAGGGTTCAAGGCCAGGTTGGACGGGGCTGGGAGCCCCCTGGGCTGGGGGAAGGGGGCCCTGCCCGGGGCAGGGGGGGGCACTGGGGGGGCTTTCAGCTCCCTCCCCACCCAAACCACTCCAGGATTCGGTGATGCATTCAACTTCTTAACTTTCTACATGAAGAAAGTGTAACAGGAAAATATCATTTCCATTTTCCACCCTCTTGTCAAACTGCCTTTTGCAGATGTGCATTATGACTTTCAGAGTTTAAAATAACACTGAACCAATAACCTGCAATATCCTTTTCAATACCAACACACTCCAGGAAGGGGACAGCTCAGGAAGGAACCGTGCATCACGGAAAGAAACATAAAGGCCAGTCTTAAGCTGCTCGGCTAACTTACTAAGATAACAAGAAACCCCCAAAAGCACATCCCATATTCTCCATAGCCTAATTTAATCTAATTTTAGATGAGATCTATCATTCACAGAAACACTGGTAGGCAAAGCAGTAGTAACTGCCAGCACTTAGCTGAAAGAGTTTGAAAGACACTCCCAGATTTATAACTGAAATCCGTGCTGCATTTCCATCATCTTCTGCTTTCCATTATTTATGGGATCTTATTTTGAAATTATCGTAGAGGTGAAGCTTCAAGGATATCAGCATATCCTGCTAGGAAATCATGCCCTAAAGCACAAGACGGTATCAATTTTTAAAGAAACTCAGTATACAGCAACAGCGAAACTATTCATTAATATTAATAAAAATTTAACTTATTTCAGATAACCACTCTTACTTGTATTTCCAAATCTCTACCGGTTACGTCTTTGCCCAATGAGGTTTACGCATCATTATGTAGTTGTAGGATATGATGTAATTCTAGATAATGAACCAAAATACGGGCTACACTACAAATTATTGCTGCGGGCTAAAATCAAGGCGGGTGCTTCAGCCTGATCCCAATGGCTGGGGGCGACCGATGCTTCAGCAGCTCCGGATCAGCAAAAACTCCCCAGAAACCGCACGTGCCAAGAAATTAAGTGGCACTTACTCAGGCACTAGGAAAGCATGAAATTTTAAACTGCGGTAAAAAGAAGAATTCCCATAAAACCTCCAGCCGTAACACATATAGAGAACTGAAATCACAGCAGCTGAGGGGGGGGTGGCAGAAAAGTGAAGATGAATCAAATGCAGGTCAAATCCAGGCAAAAGCCGAGCTCCCGGCACAGGGGCACGCCGGGTGCGGGGCAGATGTGGTGGGCAAGAGGCTTCGTCTGCTCTGCAACTCACAGGGCGTCCTCTGTACGTTCAGTAAGATATCTGGGGAGGTTTTATAAAATTCTTAAAGGATTCAAACATCTTTTCTATTGGTTTTCCCCCCAGGAGCCAGAGGTAATTTATCAGCTGTTCTGCAATCAAGGAGGCTGATCACAGCGTTTCATTTGACTTAGGGGAAGAAAAGCATCAAAAGGTCAGTATTACAGTTGTTATTTAATATTTTACTTTTTCAGATGGCAATTTTTCTCTAAGTACAACTCACGCAGTCACTGATTTAGCTTACGCTACCGAAACCACCGAGGCGCCTGGCCCCTGTGCTGCCATTAAGCAGCATCTTACGGCTGTTTCGTTGCTTCGTGTGTCTCTATGTTGACCAAAAAAAGCGCCAAACGAGACGGACACCAGCGAGTACAAGCATGACCAGGATTGTGACACGAGTTTTGCTGCAGAGCATTTGTCATTTGTACGTACCAACAGTGGGAGGTCAAGAATACTTGTCTGACTTTGCAAGCCACCTGTGCAACGCGTGCTACGCGGGACTGAGCGGAAAACAGCTTTGCTTTCAGAAAATCAACCTTTTTTTTTTTTTTTAAGTTATGTTTCTGGGCAAGCTTTTATGGGCAAGGGCGACTGGGGGTCTGCGATTGCTGCCTCTTCCAGAGGAGGAGACGTGCACTACTGCTATTATTTGTGCTACTCAATCCTTATCTCTAATTAAGCTAATCTTCCTCACGGGAGGGCACTGGGGTGTTAGGAGAAAAGCAGTATCTGTGTTTCGTAGTGCTTTGTACTGCGGGGATCTGATGAAGCTGAGCATGAGGAAAGAGGTTATTAACGCAGTTATAGCCTGAGAGCGCAAACAACACGGCCTTCCCCCCGCACACACGCACGCTCTTTGATATTCGAGTTACAAACCAAATCAGAAACACCGTCTCTCCATGAAAATACCCCGTGGATTCACCGAACACCTTGTTTCTATTTCGCTTTGCGATTCGTACAGGGATTTCCATTTCCACATCGGGTTCAGCCCTGCAATTGCTGGAAGAGAAAAAGCCATGAACCATTTTCCACACTGTCTGACTCAACCCGATACTCGAGTCTTCTGTCATTAAACAAACTACAGCTAAATAAACTCTACTTTTACATTTTAATAAGCCTCGGGGGTAGAGGTGGGGAGGCTTTGGTGGGTTTGGTGTGCTCAGCTCACTGGGGTAGGTTTAGCTTAAGGCTCTCTGAGCCTTGGGATCCCACAAGTGATGCAGAGACCGCGGGCACTGCGCAACCCAGGTCTCCGACGCGCCCGTACCACCCCCTCCTTCCATTCAAGCTGTCTCTTCCCTTTCTCTCCACGGGCTCCTAACACGCATCGAGAACGGTCCCTGCAACAGGATCTCCCTTCCTCAAGCTCCTCTATTATATTGATATTTCTCATCTTGCACCGGGCTGCCTCAATCCCATCGCAGGCGGCGGTGCCAGCACACACCCCCCCCTTCATCCTCAGGCAAGGGCCTCGTTTGTACAGATCTCCAGTAAACCTTTCCCTTCCCTTCTGCTCGATTTAAAACCACGCTATGATGAATCAATACCTACTTATTGTCACTACCTGCTAAATAATGAATGGGACTCAGAGGAAATATAAAAAGAATTAATGATGAATACGTCTGCTTGCACTTAAGTAAGAAAACCTACGTAGAATGTCCTCGGGTGCAAGGCAGAAATAAATCATAGAACCATGAAACATCACAAGAAGCTACAGAAAACGTAACGTGCAAAAGAATGGATTAAAAACACCTCAGGAAAGAAGCAAATTGTTTTAACAGATGTGCTTCAAATAGAACCAATGAAGTAGTTGCAGGAACGCATTACACCTGCATTTTTTCTAATGGGCACCTCCTGCAAATTGGCCTGCAAGGGTTTA